TCCCATTAAAATATTTCCTGAATGAAGATCTCTATGTATCAGATTATTATTATGAATTTGTTCAATTCTGTATAATATATAGTAATTAAAGTTAGCATTTGTATTTACTTAATTAAACTTAATAAATTAATACATACCCTGCAGCAATACAATATAATCTTTTTAACTTTGTTTGCCAAGTAATTTCATCAAAATTTAGCATTAAGTTTCTATGCAAATTTTCATCTTCTGCAAATTCCATTACCATAATATTGTTATTAATATTAGGATCTTTAATAATTCTATAGCATTGTATAATAAAATCATTAGAATTTGTTATTCCATGAGATATTACCTATTTAATTATTAAATCAAATTTATTAAAAAAAATAATAATAAAATTAACTAAAATTTAAATTAATTGAATTTAAATATAAAAGACATACTTCTTTCAAAAAATCATCTGTCATATCTTTAGAGTTATGTAGATTTTTAAGTACCACCTTGATTTCATTTTCTTTATCTTTTATCCAAATAGCACTTTTTACTACTTCAAAACTACCTTCTGCTATAAATTTTATATTTTTGAATTGAGAATATGGAATCCAGCTTATGAGCTCACTTGATTTTGTTGTTATGTCTTGAACCATTTTAGATTCAATTGTTGCTTTTGTGTCTTAGTATCGATTATTAATTTATTTTTGATTTTCTCTGTTTCTATTATTAGATTTAATATTGAAATATCATCTGGATCTATTTTTAGAACTTCATTAAAATCATCAAGTGATTCTTTGTATTTATTTAATTTTCTGTAAATCATTCCTCGAAATTTTAATGCAAGAGCATTATTTGGTTCTATTTCTAACATTTCATTACATTTGTCAATATTTTTTTCATGCAAATCTAGGTTAAGAGTATCTGATAAAGATTTACTAAAATCTATTAATGCTTCATTATGCATTTTTAATTTTTGATAGGTTTCTCCTCGTAATCTTAATGCAAGAGTATTATTTGGTTCTTTTTCTAATAAATTATTAAAATTATTTAATGAGCCATAATACCATCCTAACTTTAGACAGATTTCTCCTCGTAATCTAAATACAAGAGTATTATTTGGTTCTTTTTCAAATAAATTATCAAAATCTGTTAATGCTTCACTATACTTTTCTAACTTTTGATAAGTTTCCCCTCGTAATCTTAATGCAAGAGTATTATCTGGTTCTTCTAATAATTTTTTAAAATCCATTAATGCTTCATTATACCTTTCTAATTCTAAATAAATTTCTCCTCATAATCTTAATGCAGAATAATAATCTGGTTCTAACTCCAATAAATTATTAAAATCCATTAATGCTTTATTATATTTTTCTAACTTTTGATAAGTTTCTCCTCGTAGTCTTAATGCAAGAGTATTATTTGGTTCTTTTTCTAATAATTTATTAAAATCCATTAATGCTTTATTATACCATTCTAACAATAGATAAGTTTCTCCTCGTAATCTTAATGCAAGAGTATTATCTGGTTCTATTTCTAATGATTTAATAGAATCTGTTAATGCTTCATTATACTTTTGTAATTCTAAATAGGTTTCCCCTCGTAACCCTAATGCAAGATAATTATGTGGCTCTTTTTCTAATAAATTATTAAAATCTATTAATGCTTCATTATAATTTTCTAACTTAAAATAAGTTTCCCCTCGGAATCTTAATGCACACAAACTTTTTGTTTATTTATTGGTACAACCTGACTTGTACCTTTATTTTACATATTCCCAAAATTTTCTGGCAACAATTTCGTTATTATCACCATCTTCATGGCTACTAAATTGTGATATCACTGTCTTTATTAATTTCTAATTAAAGATTTTCAAATATGTACACTTTATAAATTTGTATAATTATAAAAAACAAAACTGAAAATACTAATGTTACAAGAAATTCTATTTTTCTACAATCAATCGCATCCCTACAGTTCTCCGATGCTTATTCAACCAATTTAGCATCGTCGGATTCGGAACCACATCCTTCTGAAACTTATTATCATTTTTATCCTTGATATCATATATGTTTGCAATATCATTTTCACTTGGAACTTGTTGCATGTTTAATATTTAATTGTTCCTATTAATAATATATTATTAAATTAATCACAATATAAGTATAAATTTAATTCGGGATTTTTTTACTTACTAAGAAACGTTTCTTGAATATCTTTTCACGTGGATCCAAAGATCTCACTCAATTCCTTTTGGCGAAACTTTCACAATAATCTTATTAACAGTAGCAAGTTTATTGTCATCCATTTTCCATAACTTTGAATATGTCTCGTGCACATAAGAATTTGTTTCCATTCAACAATTTTAGTGCCAGCATTTCGACACATTTTTTTCTAAGCACTATTATAAATTCAAATTTTAATTAAAAACTCCCATTTTAAATAAATATTCAAATTGTTAATAAGTGACCTGTTCAGAGAATATATTGTATCAAGAAGCTGAATTCTTTCAGCATGTTTCAAATCAATACTCGTTTAATATTATTAGCAATAAAATAAAACTATCTTCTTCATGGTTCAAATAATTCTCTTCTTCATATATTATTTTATATTCTCTTTTTTTTCCTGTTGTATAAAAGATTTTTTTTGAATATGAACTAACTTTACTTAATATTTAATGTTGATTATTATTAAAATTTCCATTACACAAAATTTTTATAATTTAATATATACAGTAAACTATTAAATCTAAACCATGTCCATAATCTTTGAACTGTAGATAGTTATTTTTTCATGAATTTATCTTAGTCCTAAGTTTCAAATTCCTTCACAACAAACTATCAAAGAGAGTTTATCAGTTATTACTTTCCACATTATAATACCTAAACCATATACATATATCTAATATAAATGTAATGTTGAACTACTTCAACTATACTTTAAGGAAGTGACATTTCATGCCAAGGAGAGATTTGATAATTATTTGAAGGAAAAATAATAAAAAATTTATATCTATAAAGCCAAAAGCATATCTTCAAATCAATAGCTTGTTTATAAAATTGTAATCTTTATCAGTATAATAAATATTCTACAACAGATTTTTTATAAATTATTGATATTTATTTATAATAACTTCTTTCAATCGAGATAATCGAGCATGCACGGTGTTTCTCTGCTACCCATGAATAATAATCTTATGACTTCCTTAAAAATAATGTTTCATCTTTTCTAATATTTTTCTACTTAATATATATATCTCTGAGAAAGATTAATTGGCAAGAAAAAAAATTAAGTTAAAATTTTGAAATTAATTGTCACATAATGATTGAATACGTTAGAAAATAAAAATTACTATTCAAAAAGTTAAAAATTAAAAAATTAAATAAAATAAAATTAAAATGAAATCATTACAAGAAGACCGAAAAGACTTTTGTTGCTTTAAATAATGATAGGTGAACATATGTCGTGTGTAAAAACATTGATAAAGATGTAATAAGTAATAAGTTGTATAAGGATGACGTACGTGAAAGATAACGTAAAAGAAAGATAACGATAGATCTATTCGAAATACCGTATATGAACTTAATAAGAATTAAATGAGAATTGGTTGAATTGAATTACAATAGGTTAAACCAAAATAAGAGAGAATAAAGTAAGTAAATAATGAAAGGTGAAAAAAAATGGAGGAAAACGTGGGAATGGATGGATTGATGAATAATAATTTGATAATAGTAGAAACAATATAATATCTTCTCCGTTTATCTTTTTCTTTTCCTAATCCCTTACTGAATAAAAAATAAATAAAATAAAAATTTAATTTAATTAAAAATAATTTTTAATATTTCTATTATTTTAGAAAGTTCTAAAAAAAATACATAGAATACTTACATGTTTACGACTTTCTTATTGATAGGCGCGCAAAAAACAAATGCCAAGAAAACGGCCACCCCATATAAAAAAACATTCAATATGACAGTAATATCATAAACTATAATAAAAGTATTATCGTAAGTTCGCGAGAATTACTAGTGCGATTGAAAAGAAATAATAAAAAAATACAATTAATTCAATTAATTAATCTTAAATAAAAATTGCAGAACAATACTTTCTTCATGAAATACTAACTTTGCCAACCCTCCAAAAAAGTAATAAATAATAAATAATAATCATTAATGCAGCGTAAATTTTATTTTTTGCATACGTAAAAATAATAATAGATGGATGAATGGAATAAATGAACTTTAAACTTTCGTGTTTGTTAACATTAGATTTAATGGATTAATGCATGAATATTTTTTTTTACTCCTCTTTTTAAATTTTTTCTTATTTTTTTTTAGGATTGTAAATGATACTCTTTTGTTTTTAATAATTTTAAATATAAAAATAGGCATGTGTCTCGTTTTTCCTTGGCTTTTTCACTCACTATATTTTTTTCTCATTATTATTAAATGATTTAGTTATTATCATTATTCAAAAACAATCATTTACTCTCTCTATACAGTATATAGAGTATCTCCTTGATCAATTTTATCCTTTAATTATTTTAAATTAAAAAAAAAAAAAAAAAAACGATTTATGAATCTCCTTTCTTAATTTATTCATCTCTTTCCCATTATTTATATCTTTCCTTAATAATAATTTTCGCTTTTCCTATGCAAAAAAAAAAAATAAATAAATTTCTGTTTATTTTTTTCTTTTATTAGTAAACCTAGTTTCTTGAAAAAAAATATTAATTTATATCCCCTACATAAGATTTTTATTTTTTTTTATTATTGAAGACAAAATGTGAAAATTGTTGGCTTCAATATTCTTTTATGCCAAGAATCTTTTCAATTTTCAAATGATTATAGTTTCAATTTTTATTAAAAAAGTGTTAGCTTTATAGGTTGATATAATGAATCTTCCCTTAAAAAAATGAGACACTTCCTATCAAATTTAAATAAATCTTTATCCTTTAAAATATTCATTAATTTATCCATATTCACAATTCTTGATAATTGTAATAGAATCAATAAAAGATTGAAAAGATACATATGACATGAACAATATTATAAAGAAAGGAAATAGTTGTAGTTTCTCTCTAAATAAAGATCAGTTATTTTATCTTTATCTTTGGATAATTATAAAATATTAGTAATTACACATTATTTTAATCATTTCTTGAGAACTGATGCCAATATTAAGAATTTTTGGACAACTGGTTGATGTGTTGCAGATAAAAATTTGCGACTGGCTGAATTCTATTCTATTTGATTTTTACTTTTGAAACCGTGAATATGGTTTGCTATCTCTTTTTTTTTGAAGCAAGTGTTAGACCGTAAAAAATTTATATTTTTTTTTTTGAAGAATGTTAGATTTTAAAAATTTTTATAGCGAAAAATTTTATTTTTTTTAATGGAAAAGTATATTGTATTTATTAAAGAAATCCAAAAATATCTTTACTTAAAGGTTTTCTAAGATTGCAAAAATAAAGAATAAAGAGTATGAATTCAAAAATTATAAATATAAAAAATTATTATATTTGTTGAGTTTTTTTATTTTATTTCTTATCTGAGTTTATGATTTTAAATGAAAATAATATATAAATACACAATTGCAATCATTAGTTTAGTTATAATAGTTATAAAGCAAAGAATTGGATAAATACAATTCGTGATTGTAAATCGGTTTGAAAGAAATAGAATTGTAGTATAAATTAGCTGATAATTTCAAGTTTATTTATGTTTTATCTTAAAATATAACAACTTGTATAAATAGTATAAAATGATTTCTAAAAAAAAAAAAAATATTTAAAACACAAGGAAAGATAGATTGATCAAGTAATTTAAATTATAGCATTTTAAACCTATAACAAAAATTTCATAAAATGTAATACAGTGGGTACCAGTCCAGTAAAATAAAGATGGATGAATTTATAACAAGTCCTTCAGAGTACGATTCGATTAAGGTGAAATTTCGGAATTACTTCAATTAATTTATAATTGATTAGAAAAGTGTTATTTTAAGTTGATACTTTGATAGTAATGATAATGAATTCAAATACTTACTCCCTGTAATATAATAATGTAATCAAGTGAAGATTGATAAATAAATATTATTGAAGTTGATTAAAATTTTGTCTTAAAATTATAAATCCAATACTCACATACCCAGTGTACAATGTGCACATGTTAATTAATTAAATCTTAAAAGGATAATGAATCTAAATATTTACTCTCTGTAAATGTGGGGGGGGGGGGAATGATAAGACATAATAATAATAATAATAATAATTATTATTATTATTATTGAAATTAGACCTTTATCTTAATGATTATGAATTTAATACTTACTTTCTGTAATACAATGTGTATATGCAATTGATTAGAGCATTACCATTGAAATTTATTGAAATTAAATTAGCTTGAATCTTTGATTTTTATAATTAAGAATCTAAATACTTACTCCCTGCAAGTATACAATTATACAATTGATAAATTAAAAAAAGGTTTATTGTCTTGGAATTTTAATTATAAAGATTAAAAAATCCAATACTCACAAACTAATTATTTAATATGTATAAATAATTTTATTGAAAATTGATTAGGAAAATATTATTTAATATTAATTGCTTAAAACCCTAGAACTTGGAACTTAATGATGATGATGAATCTAAACACTCACATTCTGTAATAAATTGTAATAGATAAAGTATAAATATAATATATATATAAATATATATTGTTATTTGTGTAAATTAACTTGAAATTTTTGATTTTAATAATTATGAATCGAAATACTTACTCCCTGTAAATATAATTCACATGCAATTGATTATAATTGATTATAATTGTGTGTTATTTAGTGATAGAGTTGAATTAGTTGAAACTTTGATCATAATAAATATACTCACAACCTAAAACATAAATATATAATATAATTATAATATGCATAAAATTTGTTATTAATTGATTAGAGAAATGTTAAAATCAATTTCAATTTAATCTGAATACTTACGCCCTTCAAATTTATAGTTGTATATAATTAATTATAATTGATTAGAAGTGTCATTGGAGTTAAAAAGTTAAAATTTGATCTTAACAATAAATACTTACACCCTGTAAATATGAAATTAAATAATTAATTATTTAGGAATATTATTTAACTTTGAATTAACTTGAAATTTGATTTTAATGATTATAATTTAAATACCCACATTCTGTAATATAATATGTATATGTAATTGATTTACAAAATAAATAAATAATTAAAGAAGTGTTATTGATGTTAAATCTTGATTTTAACGGTTATGAATCTAAATACTTACTTTCTGTAATTGATTAAAGAAGAATTATATGAAGTCAATTAGATTGAAACTTTGAATTTGACGATTATAATTTCCAAATACTATTCAATACTTACGCTCTGTAAATGCGTAAAGATTCAATTGATAGATTAGTGACATATTATTTAATTTGAAAATTTCGATTTTAATAATTTAATAATTTAAATACTCACTTTCTTTAAATACAATACACATGTGATTTATTGATAATCGATTAAAAAAGTGTTATTTGATATTGGTTTAACTTGAAATTTTGACTTTAATGATTATGAATCTAAATACTCACTCCCTGTAATTTTATGTATTATAAAATTATTTGAGAAATTTTAAATTTTAAAATTAGTTTGAAGCTTCAATTTTTTATAATAATAATAACAATAATAATGAATCTAAATATTTACCAACTAATTCATTTAATAATTTAATTGATAAATTATTTAATGCATATTTAAATTAACCAGTAATTGATCAAAGAAATATTATTGAAACTTTGATCTTAATGATTATTAATTAAATACTCACTTCCTGTAATATATATGAAATGCATTTAATATAGAATTGATTATTTGATGTTGAATTAACTTGAAATTTTAATTTTGATGACTGTAAAGCTAATCTAAAATACTCACTCGCTAATACGTGTATGAAATAGATAGATAATTGATTAGATAAAAAGTTATAATAAATTATTAACTTGAAATTTGAATTTAAATACTTACTTCCTGTAATATTATGTAACATTATGTAATATCATGTAATATATATAATGTAATACAACGCATTAAGAAATTTTTGTTTAATGTCGTAATTTTGATTTTATGTTATGATTTAAGAATCTAAATACTCACGCCCTGTAAGCATTTTAATTAATAGAAAAGTTTATATGAATTAATTATCTTGAAACCTTAATCCTAATGAATATAAAACCAAATACTTACCAACTAAAATTATTTAATGTGGATATGAAAAATTATTAAAAATTGATTAGAAAAAAGTGTCATTTGATATTGAATCTCTGATATTAATAATTATACTCACATCCTGTAATATAAACGCACGAAATTCTTTAATAATGTATAATTTGTCTTAAATTAATCTAATCTTAATAATTATGAATCTAAATACTCACCCCCTGAAAAAAATATAATACAAATATAATTTATTGATAAATTGATTAGAAAAGTGTTAAGTTAAACTCAAAATTATTCGATTTAATGATTAAGATACTCACTTCCTGATATATTTAAATTAATTAGATAATTGATAGAGAAGTTAGAGAAGTATTATTAACTTGAAATTATAATTAAAATAATCATGAATTTAAATAATTACCAACTAATTATTAAATATTCAAATTCAATTGATTTATAATTAATTAGAGTAAAAGAATTATTTAATATTGAATTAACTATAAATTTGATTTTTACAATTATAGATCTAAATACTTACAGCCTATAATTTGTGCATGTGAATGAATTTGATAAATGATTAGAAAAGTGTTATTTAAATTTGAATAACTTAAAAATATTGATTTTAATAGTAATGAAGAATCGAAATACTCACTCGCTGTAATATAATGTGATTGTTAATTAATTAATTAATAATCATTTAAAGATATTATTTAATTTTGATTTAAATAATATCGAATAATATCGAATAATATCAAATAATATCAAATAATATCAAATAATATCAAATAATATCAAATAATATCAATTAATATCAAATAATATACTCACTTTCTGTAAATATTGTAAATATAAATTAAGAATTAATTGATTAGAAAAGTATTATTTGTAGTCAACTATTTATTTAAAATTTTGACTTTAATAACTATGATTATAAATACTCACTTCCTATTATATTTATTATATTCGTGATAAAAAATGATGGATAATCAATTTGAGAATTATTACGTACTTAATTTTAAATTAGGTTAAAAGTTTTCATAATAAATCTAATTACTTACATACTAAATATAATTTGTATGCAATTAATAATTAATTATTTAATTAAGTCTTAATTGTCTTGAAATTTTTAAATTAAATACTTACTCCCTATAAACATTATGTAAATATCATCAATTGATAGAAAATTGATTATTGAAAAATTTTCCAAAGTATAATTATTATTATGAATCTAAATACTTACGCCCTTAAACATTAAATTGAATTATAATTAATTAGAGAAATGTTTGTTTAAAATAAATTAGCTTTGAATTTGATTTTATTGATTGTGGACTTAAATACTTACAACCTTAATTATAATTTATATTAATACAATTTATTGATAGTTGGTTAGAGAAACATTAATTGATGTCGAAATTAAATTAAAAATTTTCGATTTTAATGATTATTAATTTAAATATTCACCCCCTATAAATATGCAATAATTAATTATAGAAGTGTTATTTAATATATTGGTTTTTTTAATTTTTAATTTTAATAATTATAATAAATCCAAGGCACTTACTTCCTGTAAATATAATTTATAGATAATTGGTTATGAAATATTATTGAAGTTGAATTAGCTTGAAATTTAGATCCTGTGCGATTATAAATTTCAATACTTACGCCCTGAAGAAAACAATATATATAAGTAATATTATTTGAATTGAATTAATCTCAAATTTTGTTTCGGATTTAAAGCACTGTAATTGCCCTCACTTACTCTATTGGTTAAACAATTATTTTTGTTTAAAATTTTAACAGAGAATATATATTAAATAGTTTCAATTATTAAATATTTGAAATATTCGAATTATTTTCGTGGATACTTAATTATCTATACCTTTAAATAATTCAAAATAATAAATTGATTAATAATTTAAAATAAATATTATTTATATTAATAATTTAAAATAATTAATAATTACTATCGCTATAATTAAAAAAAAAAAATACCTGTGATTTCCTGATCAATTAGAGTTTGATCATTTGCTTCATTTAACACATGATCGTTGGTAAGATTAATATTTTTTTTAATAAAAAAAATTTCAAGAGAATTACAAGTATTTTATAAATTAATTTCGATTTGAATTATTTACATTTTATCTACTTGATTAATAAAGAGATATCAAATTTATTGAAATAAAGAAATACCTCCATATTTTAAATTAAATGATGTTTGATCGCTTTCTTCATTTGATACATTTGATACCAAATCTTGACTATATATATTATACACTTCCACGAGTGGTTCAATGTTTTCAATAGAAGCATTAGATTGAATATTTTTATTAGACACATAGAAAAGATTTTCAAACTGAATTTTTTCAAGGGATTTACGAATATCTTCTATAGATTTTCTTTGAATTGGATCATCATCCCACGCATTTGAATAAATGTTGATATAATCCGTGGGTGTTCCATCAATAGGTGTTTCTCTTTCACCGGAAGTAACTTTTTTATATACATCTTCTTTTGCGAAATTTTTAAACGGAGGTCTTCCGCTTGATAATTCCCAAAAAAGAACTCCTAAACTGTATACGTCTGACTCTTTATTTCTCTTATAATATCCTATATTTTTTAAATATCTAGGATCTGTATATGCAAACGTTCCACCTATAAGAGAATTTGAACTGGTATCCAATGAACGAGATAATCCTAAATCCGTTATCAATAATCTTTTTTCATGAACCAAAATATTCTTTGAATGCTATTAAAAAAAAAAAAAAAAAGTGAATTTGGGTATACAAAACCTATAATATAAATTACCATATATTTATATACTCACTAAATCTCTATGAACAATATTTTTTTTATGAATAAAACTTAAACCCCTTGCGATATCTTTAGCCATATTAATTTTAATTTGCCAATTAAGGTTTTCAAAATTATTTTGTAAATAAGCTTTTAAGTCACCATCTTTCGCATATTGTAACACTAGGTAATATGTTTCTTCAAAGGGATCTAAAAAAATTTTTATTTATTAATATAGAATAAATAATAAATAAATAAATAATAAATTATTTTACCTTTACTAATTCCGAAAAAATTAATTATATTATCATGATGGTTTACCATATTAATATTTTGTAGCTAGTGGTTCCCAAAACAAAATATAAATATATTTAAATTTTCATTCTCAAATATTTTAATTAATGAAATTATCATTTACCTCGTTCACAAATTCAGCAAATTTATTATCATTATCATTATTATGTCTAAATAAACTTTTTAATGCAACATATTTTTCTAAACTTTTCGAATAAGCGCGCATGACTTGACCGAATCCTCCTCGCCCAATAGGAACAAATTCTTCAAATGTGTTATAATCAAATGGCGTAATAAATCGATTTTTTAGAGCATTTTCGAGCAAATCTTTTTTTCTTGACATTACTTCGAATTATTTCTAGTAACAAAAAATGATAATTTATCTGAAATCGAGACTTTAAAATCCTAAAGAGGAAATTGCGTAAATTTATGAACTCGCTATTTAATTCTCTGGTAAAAAAATATATTTATTGAAAAACATAAAAATGGTTGTTCGGGGGAATACTTTCCAAAAATTGCATTCTATGAACTCATTTTTAGTTTTGCAACACAAATCAGATATGCATAATAGTTCCTATAGTAAGCGTCGATCATTTCTGCCTTTTCGCACAAATGGTATAATTAAATATAGTTATATTGATATAATTTTTAAATATTCAAAGGTTATTATAGAAATATTTTATATTGAAAAATCGTCAAAAATATTTATTTTATTTTATTACATTAATCATTTTAATAAAAATTTTTTAAAAAATAAATTCTACACACGTAATTATAATTTAACTGTTAAAATACTGTATGAATAATAACCGAAGTTATTTAGGTTAAGTAAATTAGAATTTCCAGATTTCGTTTATCTCTTTTTTTTTCAAATAAATAAAATGTGGAATTAAATGATTTTATTATTTTCAATATTTTTAATATTTTATTATTTTTATTGGGCTGTGCCGTAAATTATTAAATTAGTTTTAGCAAACTCCTCTATGTAATTAATTGTTTCATAATTGTAAATTTATTTTTCAATATCTTGATTTAAAAAAAATTATTGATTATTTTAAGGTAATAATTGAGTTATATGTTGAAACGTTGAGTTATGATATTGAATTGACTGTAGAGGTAATTCTGTATTATATTTTTAAATGCAGTACAGATTATTATAAAGACAAGAGAGAACCAATTTTGTGGACCTATAGTTTTGAATACAAATCTTTTAACGACTATTTGTTCAGCATAATAAATAAATCATAATTTTATGGCTTTGTTCTTTTGTTCATATTTTAAATACTTTTATTTAACATTTTAAGAATTTTCTAGTATCCATAAAATTATTATTTTGATTTCATAAAGTTCTTTTTTCATCATTATAAAATTTGGTATACCATCTGAATGTGAAAAGAACACCAAAAAGAATATTTTGAGAATTATTATGATTTGACAATGTTCTTCTTTTTATTAAAATTATAATTAAAGTTATCCTAGTATCCAATATTGACCTTTTGTCATAAATTTCAATATTATAATTTTGAGAATCAGTTATACATGTACAAAAAATATGATAATTTTATATTTTCATCTAACTGTTCTTTTCAGTTTTCCTGATTCATTATTCAAGAGAAGACGAGATTTTTATTTTGATATGTAAATTAGCTTTTTACTATATGTAGTATTTCACTGAAATCACAATATAGTTTTCAGAGGGATATGCCAATACAAGACTTCATTGCGCCTGGGATTTCGGAAAGCCAACAAATGCTAAATATTCTAATATAAGTTTTGCAGTTTTGAAATTCTTCGAAAATATCAATAAAGAATTAATTTTTTTATTTGCAAAAAAGAATTAAAGCTAAGTTAGATTAAAAATTTATTGAAGAGACGCTTGCTTGCATAAAGAAAAATTCCGATAACAAATACAAACAAATTTTGGAATAATTAATATTTATTTCATTACATTTGTAAATTATGTTGAATTTTTACAAGTAAAATTTCATGTCAGCAAAAAGTAAATGAGTAATTATATATCGTAATAACTAGTAAAGATAATATCCTAAGGGATATATACCATAAGTAATTTTAAAGCTTTTAGCGTAGTGACGATTTTAAACCTATTATCCGTTATATACATACTTTTTATTAATCTCTCGATTCCTATAAAATCCTAATTATTAAAACACCTTCAATTACATGTTAAATAATGAATAAAAGGAAATAATATCAATTTCTTTGGTTTTCTCTTGGTTTCTAAAATGAGAATTTACATTTTCTCAAGAAAAATTATTTTAGTTATTGAAAAAAATTGCATCAAAATTACAAATAATTTTTTTTGCAATTAACAATCTGAAATTTTTGATACATAAGTATATAATTTTTTTGAAAGTAAAGAAAAAAAGACTAATAATGAGATTGGAGATTCTTCAACAACAACTGCTTCACAATCGCAACCAATACAACTCGACTACAACTACAACAGAGAAACAATAACTAATGATTCGTTAACTTTAGATCAACTGAAAAAACAAAAACGAGTGAAGCAAGTTCCTCATAAGCGAAAGATACATTACATTAATTTAATTATCATCACATTAATTAATTAAATAAATTTAATATTTCAAATAACAAAAAAGAAATCTACATTTACCTATGACAATAGTGAAATGATAATGTTTATAAAGAAATTGGTGAATTTTATAGTTATATATTTAATATTATGTATTATTTATGGGTATATAATGTATCGTAATAATTTCCTGATTTATTCAATTAATTAATAAAAAATAAATAATTGAATTGAATTAAAAAATAATTTTTTAGCATTTTCTTCCTAGAGGAAACTTTTATATATTAATTAATTATAATAAACATTGCAGAGATAATTTGTAATAATAATTAATGATAATGTTATTAATTAGGAAAATTTGGAGATCAACAAAACAACAATTAGAATGAATCATTGAAAATAATAAATTATTAAGAAAGTTTGGAACTTTATTATCATATTTTCAAGCTTTAAAATTAGCATGTTAAGTAATAGGCATCATCTTTTATATATCACATCATTATGTTATTTATGTCGTCATTAGTGTATATTTAATAAGACCTAATTACATTACTTAATTATTATTTGTATTCTTAATCATCCAGATATGACATTACGTAAATTGATTTAAGAAAAAGAAAAAATGCTAAAGGTTGTCCTGTAAAAAAGGTAAATAGATGAATTATTGTTCTTTGTATTCTCTTTATAATAAATAATAATAAATAATCATAATAATTACAATAATAATCATAACAATAACAATAATAATCTAATGATGCAAAGGTAATTATTTATTCTATGATTATGGCTAAAGCTCCTAACCATTCAGTTGAACCAAATCCGAATAGCCGGTTCCAGTTTTGGTTCATTAAAATTCAAATTGAAAGATTTCCATTTAGTTCAGTTTGGTTTCAGCTTCTTTATTCGAAACGAACGGAAAACCAAAACCAAACTGAAATTTTTTTGGTTCATGGTATTTTTTTTTGGCACCGATTTTATTTTGCCATTATTATAAAAGAAATCAGTTAACGTAACATAAAAAAAGATAATCAGATTTTAATTTATCTTACTTTTATCATTACCACTTTTTTTGTCATCATTTTCAAAATTTAGTAATGAATGAATATATGTTTAATTTGATTTTAATTTAATTTAAAAAAGTTAACAAATTCTATATTTATACGTTATTTTATAAATAAATAGATAAATATTCTTATTTAAATCTGATTATCAAAAATCTGTATATATTATTGTATATTATTATTATTATGAACATTTTTAAATTTTATATATGCTGTCAAATTTTATTATTCAAATATTTTTTTTTGATTGTTTATTGCTATTTTCGAAATAGTCCAATCAGCCAATCAAGTGATCAAAATAAATAAATATAGCAAAAACAGAAAACAAGCATGTGATTTTTTTAACCAATAAGAATATGATAGTTTTTTGATCTGTGATCTTTATATTTCACAATGTGATCTATGTCTTCTTTTTACCAAATTGGTACTGTTTCAATTGTCAAAAATGTTTATATTGTTTTATAGATTTATTACAAGAAACTTGCAATCGTAATATAACTAAAAAACCTTCACGTTCTGATGCAAATGTTGACTGATCTAGGTTATCAAATATATAACTGTTGTATTTCAAATACATTACTTTCAACACAACTTACTTTTCTTAAAGAGGCAGGTGAAAAATTTGAGTATGATTTAGATTTTACTATGGAATTTGATATTAGTTTTTGTTCTGCTTGTAATTCAAAGTATGAATGTTCTAAAAATAAAAAAACAAAAAAAAAACTCAAGATAATTAAAATCTAACAAATCTAATACAAGTTAATACTCAAGTTATTGTCAAAAAAAATAATGAAGTTTCATCAAGAAAATGGATAAAGCTTGATCTACAAACTTCTACATTATTTTATGAAGATTTATTAGATTATATAAACAAAAATATGGGAAATATAATTAGAAAAGATGATTATATTACTACATATAAAGTAAATGGTTGTAGACAAGTAATGGCTTTAGATGATAAGGATAACTTTGTTGTTTTTATTGAAAAATATAAGGGCTTATCTAAATCACAACATATGATAATTTATATAAATATTAATGTAAAATCAAATAATTTAGAACATAATCATAAGAGAGTTACATTAGTGAGTAAATTTATTTTAGAATATATTATTAATTTTTTTTCTTGAAATATTATGATTATATTATCTTATTTTATTTTGTAAATTATTTATTTTATTATTAATGGACAGATAAAAATAATGAAATAAGTAGTTTAGATGAAGAAGTTCAAGAAAAACATTCAAGAAAAAATCTAAAAAATCTCATGTATTAAAAGAATCTCAGTTAAATGAAACAGAACTTGAACAAGTACAATACTTACAGAAATTAGAAACAAATATCAATGTAATATTCATAATACCCCTTGTTATATTAAAAATAATAAACACCTTCAATTGACACTAGCATGATTAACATTGTGAGCTCAGGATATTGTATGATTGTTTATTATTTATTATATTATTTTAATTTTAATTTTTTATATTTTATATTTAACCTTTATTATAATTTTATAAATTAGATATGAGAAATGACAACAATTGATATATCTCCTTCTTATCCTGCTTTTGAAACAATTCATGCAAAGCCAGTTACTTCAAAAAATCAATACCTTCTAATAATATTTCTATTCCTGCTATTTCTGGTTCTACTACAATATCCCAATAGATTTTTCCTTTCCTTTTTCATTTCCTGGTATCAATTTTTGTTCTCCATTTGAAAAATCAG